CTCAGCTCCCGCCTCCATGTAGGCTGGCACTACAGAAGCTCTTCGGGTGACGAAAGCTCAGGCCACATGGTTGAACTCTGTTGAAATGATCATCAAAAAGTGTGACTTGAACTTCACTACCTCATTGCCTGGAGTCTCTTCCATATTTTACAGCCACAACAGCTACTTGCCTTGCTAATGACCCAACATGGTGTGTAATATTTATTACTCAGATACAACATGCATGCAGTCAGTAGCAAGTTGGTGCTATGCAGCCTCATATCCTAAAAGGATTCACAGGTATTTTAGATCATGAAAGATCTTGACCATCCAACATGAAATCTTGCAGGGGCTCAGTTTAAGAACTATGATTGTTTTCTGTTCATTTTTCTGCATAGCTTCGTATGAATTCTGACTTATTGAAATTGCTTGTCCAAGTAAGTGAACTTTGAACCTTAGATGAATAAGAAGTTCTTTAGAAAGCAGAAAATGAAAACAGGTCTGCAGAAGTTAGCACCTGGAGAGCTGCTCAGCATGGAACTCCTGAGGACTCCTGGCTCAGAAGGCTTCTGAAAGATACTTGGAAGGTAATATTTTGTTTAGGGTTGGAAGGTAGACTTTGGTGTGGAGACACTAACCTCTTCCTAGGAAGTGCAGGTTGAGAATGTTGGGAATGTGTCTTCCCTTTTTGGTTCTTGTCACAAAAAGAGCTCAGGAGCAGATACTCAGACCTAGATTGGAAGGCCCAGATTCATCTTCCTTCATGTTATATTGCTAAGTCAACAGTCTAGTGAGCTCAGGCAGAGAAAAATCACTCACAGAGGTTAACCTCCTCCCTGACACCCCCAACATCCTTGAAAGGTTTCTCTCTCCAGATGACTCCTTTCCTATTTAGGGAAAAAGCTTTGGATTTTCTTCTGTTTTCAGATTCCTCTCAGTTTTCCCACAAAACCATGGTTATCTTTAGCCATTAAAATGTAGAGGATTTCCCATGCAGCCACAACTCTACCAGGCTATCTTGTAGTCCACATATGTGCTCAAAGTTGTTTCAAGTGCACAACATAACTGTTCTTTCCACTTTCCCTTGAGGAAAATACTGCTGAAGAACCTGTAGTGTAGGCACAAGTGCTCTCCATTTGCCCTATGATTACAACCTGGTGTGACTGCAAGGGAGAACCACATGATCATAGGACAATTAGGGGAGACTTTGGGAGGTGTCTTTCAATCTGAGTTATCACTGGATCACAGGATGGTTGAGGTTAGAAGGGACCTCTGGAAATCATTGACATTATTTCAAATCATTGAAAAGGAGGGATGTACTGGTCCTTCTGTGTCTTCATTTGGTAAAGACAAGGAGAATCTCTTGACTCCCTCCCTGTTGCTCATTTCCTGGTGTGAGTGGTGCTGGACATCTCCATCCTACATGCTAATGCTGCAGGACCACAGTCTGAGAGACTTGGGGGTGACAAAACTCTGGTCAGGAAGGATGGAGAATCACATAATGTTTGAGTTGGGAAGGGACCTCTGGAGATCACCTACTCCAAATCCTCTACTCAGCAGGATCACATACAACGTATTTCCAAGGCATGTCCAAATGTCTTTTGATTATCTCCAAGGATAGAAAATCCACAATGTTTCTGCTCAAATTGATCTGGTGCTCTGTTCTTCTCACACTGAAGTTTTCCCTTATGCGCAGATGGAGCTTCCTGCATTTGAGCTTGTGCCTGTTGCCTCTTGATCTGTCACTGGGCACCACAGAGAAGAGTCTGGCCCCATCCTTTTGACAAATACCCTTCAAATACTTATGCACACTGATAAGGTTCCCTGCCACGAGAAGCCCTGGGACCTGCTGCTGATGGAGCAAGGACAGTGCTGGATCATGGCTCAGTCATGGAGAGATCTGGCTCAGAGCCTTGGGGCAGCCCCACTTCTCTGCAACCATCTCAGACCCTTCAGGACTGAAGGCTACCTCCATGTTGAGAACAAGGTCCTCTGCTCAGATTACTGCAGAATGGGTGGGAAGTTTCACTCTAGCATGCAGGGTCCTGCTGGGCTGTGATGGGTTGAATCATGGCCCCAGAAAGGAGCAGTGTTGCATCCTGATTGCCCTAAGCTTTCTCCATCCTGTCCACCAGCCTAAAAATTGTTAATGGTGTGATGGAGCTGATGATATAAGGACACGCTTTCCTGCTGGAGGACGTCAGCTATTCAAGGGAAAGCTTTTAGGGAGTTAATAATGCCTAGTTCCACTAATTTTTGACCTTTTTTCCTGGCAATAAGTGGTTAACCCCATCATGGATGGTGCCTCGCTCCTCCTCTTCACCCTGGGCCCTCCCATGGACCCTCCTCTGCAACTCACTGGCTGGATGGGAAGCGGAGCGCTTTTAAAAAGCAGACGGGAACTAGCGTTTACACCTCTTTTATTAGAAATAAGACACATTCATTTGTGCTCTGAAAACTGTACAGGAAAAAATCTCTTTAAAAAAAAGAAAGAAAAAAAAAAAAAGAAAAGAACTGACGGACACAAGAGAGTAAAAGGGAGGGGAAGGCGTGGAATGGGGCAAGGCAGGGCAGGGATGCGGGGTTAACCAGAGGAGCTGAGCAGAAAAAAAGTAGAATATCAACAGTTATTAAACAAACATTTATCTCTGAAATTACATAACACTGTTAATGTTCTGCAAGTTGGCTGGAATGGATGGGCAAATGGGAAAGGTCTGGAATAAGACGGCAAGCTTGGCTGGGCAGAGAAGAAGGGGAGAAAAAGAAAAAAAAAAGAATTAAAATACAGTAGAAAGATATCTGTATGCTAAAATTCATTATGTGTAATTATAGTAATTACAGTATCATACAACCCGGCATCTGAGGGAGGCCTTTGTGCTTTCCTGTTTCATAGAATAATCTAAAATTGGACAATAATATCACAGTTTTTATAAATAATTGTTCACCTTAGTTTTTAACTATTTGGATTTTTTTTTAAGTATTTTTTTCCATCTTTCACATCATACAGTTAACGGCATGGTAATTGCCATTATCATCACAGGTAAATAACCCAGGTGTCCCGAAGGAAAGGTGAAGAAGAGATGTTTGCCTGCCAAGCAATATCTTCTTAGGGGGGAAGCACATTTTGGGTGAGTATTTTGCCTCTTCATGTTCATTATGAGCTTTCTTTTTGTTAAAAAAATATTAAAAGAAGACCCTCCCTTCTCCTTTATAACTCAGACCCTGATCGAGAATTACTGTCGTTTGGCACAAATCAGGCCTTGCATGATTTGAGGTTTGGTGCTGCACATTTCCAAAGGTGGGGGAATTATTTCAGATGAGACGGACACAGCTGAGAATGACAAAAGGAAAAGAAAAATATATGTGGAATGCTAGTGATATATTAATGATAGAAATATTGCACAATGCTTTTTGTGGGGTGAAACGATGTAGATAACTTTTTTTTTTTTTTTGAAATAGCCTTGAAAAATGTCTAGTGATTTATTATTTTTTCACAGCAAAATAAAAAAGATGATTTTTTCTTAATGACGGATGTCCCACTTTCCTGCCAGCTCGACCTGTTTCCTTCTGATAGGACCATACAGCTGCCTGACAGTGAGGAAGCAGGGCAGGAACCAGGGAGGGGAAAGTGACCAAAGCCCAGATTGAATAAAACAAAGCCAAAATCTTGGAAGTCACAGGCCAAGGGGCCAGGTGTTCCCACCATCCCATATTTTCCATGGAGCAACTTGCATCCCACCTTCAGCAGGTGGCATCCTCACCCCACGCCTGCACCGTCCGACGGCACAGAAAGGCATTCGAAAACGACAAGAGCCAAAGAAAAGAAAGGTCTCAGGTTTCAAGTTCTCTTTTTATTGAAGAAAAGAAAAGAAGAAGGAAAAAAATAGATTTTTTGTTTGTTTGTTTGTTTTGTTTTGTTTCCAAGTGGACGTTATTCATGTTGTCAGTTTGTCTCAATGTCCTAAGGCAATATTCTCTGTATACCAAATATCTCCAGGTACATAAGCGGATGTGTCTTTCCCTCTTTCTCTCCGGTTTCCAGGGAGGGGTGGCTTGGAATAAGTTTGAGTCCGAAAGCATGGGAAAGAGAACAGAAAAAAAAAAGGATGCGGCCAAATGGACCTTTGCCAAGGCCCCTGCTGAGTTTATCTATTTAACAGTCAATGAAATGACCTACATTCTTGTTGTTGGTCTGTTTTTTCCTGCGATGCCTTCGACCCTCTCCCTGGAGATGGGGCGAGCAGGCGTTGGAGGTGTCCAGTCCTCCTGCGTGTGACACTCGTGACGAGAGGGGAGATGCTCCATCTTACCTCCGTGATGGGCCACGGGTCTGTCACCGCTGTGTCCCCAGGGCGCCCCACGAGTTGGTTACCAGGACATGTTGAGCGATGCAGAGGATGCTTCTCGGTCAAGGTGCCCTGGGCAAGTTCCCTTTCCTGTCTTCTCCGTTGTGGTTGTGGGGTGAAGATCATCTGGTGCTCTTGAGCCTGCGATGAGCAAGCGATGTTCCAGTCGGGGCAAGGATGCGTTTCACCCAGACCTATGGCTGCAGAGTGTCCAAAGAAGTTCCTGCTGGGTCAATCTCCATGTTCTCCTTGCAGCCCAAACCGATGTTCATGAACGTTCTGCCATGTGGTGTCCTTGGCAATCACGTCCACTCACTGGCAATCACGTCCACTCTAAGGGCCCATTCCTGGCAGCCCTCCCAGCCTCCTGGTTCTTTTCCACGCTCACTCCCTCTCCAGTCCTACCCGGGAAAGATCATGTTGGTCTGAACCTACAGCTACTATATTCTATAAAGTAATATTCCCCCTCTCTCTGCTGAGAACGATACAAAAGTTACTGCATTTAACCAAAGGTTTCAAAAGAAACCAAACACTTCTCTCACTCGGTTTCATTTAATTTAATCTCTTTTTTTTTTTTGTTATTTTTTGTCTTTTTTTTTGTGTGTGTTTTTTTTATGTTTTGTTTTTGTTTTAATTTGTGTTTGTTTGTTTGTTTGTTTGCTTGTTTTCTGGAAAAAAAAAATAGCAGTCCCTTTCTCTCTTTTTCCGCTCAGACCTCCGTCTGAAGGTCAATAATGTCTTGTCCCACCAGCGGGATGGTGGCCCCTGTTTTCTCCCACTCCACAGTTTTGAGTTCTAAGGGAGACTGTGCCACAGGTTCCATGTCCTTTTTAACCCATGACGGCGGAGACTGGACTTTCCTGATTCCTTCCCAGGGTCTCTTGTTTGGTGTCTGCTGTTTCTCTTGCTGCAGGAGGAAGAAGGGAGGAAAAGGAAGAAAAGTAGAGAAAGAAACAGGTCAGTGTCTATGCAACAAACACCATTTTTCCCTTCCTGCAACACTCAAGCTTCTTTACTTTTATATTAAAGGCAGATTTTCACATGAAATTCCTGGTGAAAGGAAAACAGAGGTTTCAGTGAAAATTGCATTTGGTGTGTAAATTGTCTATTTTCAGTAAGGAAATATATACATTTCATTGCTGCCTCTAATGTCCAAGGCCTACATATTTCAGCTTTCAGATGATGGTTTTTGCCACTTGCATTTCCCTTGAAAAATTGAAAATGACTATGAGAATTGAATTCTTTTTTTTTCCCTCTTTCCAGATAAAAATTCCACAAGGAAATCTATATTATGAGGAGGTCTTCTAAAAGACACATTGACTATAGTGATGCAAATATTTTTGCCCTGTACCACAGCTATTTATATGCTACAAAATCACATCAAAACATACTAATTAATCTGTGGGTGAACCCATCCTAATCCAAGAGCTGGATTATCAGCTCTGCAACTGAAAGCATTTCCATCAACTCCAAATCAAGCCTTCGAGGCTCTATCAACTGCTATGAGTCTCGCTTCCCATTAGTGTATTGACATGGATATCAAGTTGGAGAACAGCTTCCAATGTTTCTGCTGGCACACACTGAGACAAGACATCGGGGACAGCTGGGACCTTGTAAAACGAGGGTTTTCTTAAGTGCATATATGAAGGGGATTCCATGCAAAGATTTTGAATGAGCTGCTCCACTAAGCCTTTTCTGGCCACCAAGTGTGATGCTTTTCACACTTAATCCCCACACTCAGTATGAGTGAGAAAAGATTCCCTGTATGTGACAGCAGCACAAAGTTCTCCTGAACTACCCTCCCAAGGGAAAAGGCAAGACTTGCAGAGAGGGGAAATGGTGATGGTAGCATGTGCTGAGGAACATGAGGGGAGACCATGTCTCAGGAGAAGGTGAGCAGACACGCATGGAGGTCCATGCAGCCCAGGTTGCTCCACAGATTCGCACTGGTGCTCAAGGTAGTGACTATAGGGAGATGGAGCTGCCCAATGGACTGCAATGTCATAGTTTGACTGGAGAATGCTCCAGTCTCCAGGTAGGCATTTACCTCTAGGCTTGTCTAGATAGATGCCTAGATGCCATGGGCTTCTCCTCCTGCCTTGAGTTATGCTCCTGTCCCTTCCTAATAAGGAATAAATCTGTGATTAATCCTGCTTCCACATTGTTATGATGATTGGAAACTATGACTACTACTAGGATGGCTTTTAGCACCCACTGAAACTTCTGATTTTCCAGATTTTTTATGCTTTTTATATAACTTCTGTGTTTGAAGACGTCCTTGCAGTCCCCATCTGGCACCTGCCCTCAGGCAGAAGGCTCTGGGTGAAGCAGTTGGGTGGCCAGGTAGCAGCCAGTGCTGGAAATAGCTAAACAATTTCCTCTCCTCAATGACAGAGAGGTGTAAATATTCTGAAATTATTTCCATTTTAATTCTAGATGAGGAAAAAAAAAAATAAAGTACCTGGAAAAGAAATTGCTTAAAAAAGAGTTTTGGAAAAATATTGTTCAGAAAAAGGCAAAACACTTTGGTACTGGAATTCTGCAGTGTTCATTGAACTCCACAACACAAAACTTTTCTTACGCTGTTTATATTATTCTTATATTAATCTATGATGTAGCACAATGCCAATTACAATTAATAGAACAGGAAAGGTAACAAAATTGCTGATTTATTCCATTATCTATTTTAGATATTATTGAAGAGACATTATTTCGAAGAACTGAAATATTTTCCTTCTCTGTATGTGTTGTCATGAAGCAAGCTTGAGGCTAAAGTGAAATTTTATCTACAAAATTTTTACAGGCTATTTATCTGTCGTGAAATGATATAGCACACACACACATAGTAGCACAAGCAGAGCAAAAACTGAAATGGAATTAGAAGTCATGGGAAAGGAATAGGAAGAAAAGCTCAGTCAGGCCAGCCACTTTCAACAACAAATATTTTGTTTTCTACTGCAGTTACCACGGTACCACAAGCTACATTTTTCAAAGTTAGTGATGTCCCGGGCTGCATTATTTAACAGAAGGAAGAACAAATGATTATATGAGTGAAGCTCATAAATAATTCCATCTCTTCTCTCAAATCAAAGTGCTTCTTTGATGGCACTATTTGCAGCCACCTTCAGCATTAGGTGGTTCTTCTTCCAACCAATCTCTCTTTTAATAGTCCCTTGATACTACCACTACCCTGACATAGTCTTTCCTTCATGGTGTGAAGATGCACCCAGTTGGGATCACATACACTCAGTAAAATTAACAAAGTTCACCATCATTCCTACAAAGGGGCCCCTCTTGAGCCACCGATTGACCGAAGATGTCATTCTGTCTAGAGAGGGAAATTGAAAAAAAAACACAAACCAACTATGAGTTCATATCTACAAGGGCCTCTAGCCAACTTGACACTAAGGAACAACATCTAAATGTGGCGATAATTATTTGAAAGTCATATAAAATGGACATTAGGAATTGGTAAGAAGGGAAGACAGAACAAAACAACAAAAACAACAAACATTAGTATGCCAAGGACTGAGTAGGTTACACGTAATCAGTCGGGTTGAGTTCTGGCCAGGATGTTGGGAGATAAAATAAACTCTTCTCTTCTTGGCAAGGGGCACCCTGGGAATCAGTGCCCTTTTCCTTTCCCTCCATATGGAAAAGGCTCAGATTGGGTCTCAGCCACTTGAGCAACATGTAGAAAATAGCCACCAGGCTCACACTTCAGCTTGGACATTGTCTTCTGGCCTTGCTGTGGGGTCTCACAGTCCTTGTGGGCAGGAGACAAAGCCTAGGCAGGCACAAAAAAGAAGCAAAACCTGAAGAGCATGTTGTGTGATCCAAGTGTAAAATGAGCTGGAGCTGGCCTGGGGCCTGGAGCCTCAGAGACAGCCAGGAACAGGCTGGGATGGGAGCTGGAAGCCACGGAGGCTGCTCTGCCAATAATTCAAAGGGAGAGAAGCATTGCTCTGGCTGACACGCTCCTGGGCTCATCGGGAATGAGGGGAAATGTTCCTCAGCTCTTGCCTGGTGCCAGGGTGGCTGCACAGGCTTCTTTATCAGATGTGTGAGAAGATGGGAGAACGTCCAAGGCCAAACTCGGGGTAAGACCTGCTGTGAACTTGCAATCAGGACCAAGCAGAGACCTTTACCATCCTTGTGTGTCTCTTGTCCGCTGCTTGTATTTTGGTTGCACCTTAATGGGAAAGGATTTTGGAAAAAAGACATTTTGGAGGCTGTGCCAACACAGCTCCCCCAAATCCCTAACCAGAGGCAAAAGGTTGAGATGATCCACACCTCCATCCAAAGCAAGTGCTGGCAATGCAATGAGTCTCACATGCTGAATGCAAAGTGTCTATGGAAGGTATGGAAGCAGTGGTGCATGGAGCCATCTCCCCAGACGTTGGCTTTGTGCAGCCTCTGAAGTCCTTGCTATGGACCTCGTTTCATCCAGCATGGGCTGGAGAGAACCTCAATATTGGTGTGATTCTTTTTGCTTAGGAGAGGCATCGGCATGTTAGGGAGGCACATAGTGTGGGAGATTGATTGCTGTAAGAGCACTTTCATTTCACACTTTGGTCGAAAGCAATTAAATGTGAAAGCTGCTAAGCTGTATCTCCCTGTTTTGTCTTTTTTGTCTTTTTTTTTTTTTCTTAACACCCTAATTTTATAGTTACTTTTAATAACCTTAGGAGGAATCCAGTGCTTTTTACAGAGCAACTCCACCGGACACATCTACTCACAGACTGTTTTCATTGCCTCTAGCATCAACTTGAAAAGTATTTCATGACCCAAATGGTCTCTCCTCATGACATTGATGATTGTCAGTGTCAAAGATAAATGTGAAAAAGATAAATGTGGCTGATTTTTGGATCAATTTTGACAAAAAGTGATTAGAAATAAGAAAGTTGCCCTGTTTTTCTATAAAATGAAATATTTCCGTTCCTTCGGAACAAGGCATATTTGCAGTTCCTTCATTTTATGTTACAGTTCTTTAAAGATGTTATTTTTGTTCATTTAAGAGAAAACAAGTATAAAAAGAAGTGACTGACTTCTTATTCAAATTTTCATTCTGAAAAAAAAATAAAAAGCAACAGGGATTTCAACCTGTGTTGATGCAAATCTGTTAGGAAACATGAATTACACATACTCTATGGTATTAAAAAAGTGCATCTTCTGCTTCTGTATCCTTTGAAGATCAGGTAGTCTAATCTGCAGGGGTTACTGTGACCCAAAGTCCCATGAGACCATGAGCAAATGAAGATGAATAGGCACTGAATCAGTCACAAGGGAAAACACTTCCATAAAAAAAGTGGATCCTAGGAACAGCAGCCAGCAAATTCAGGCATGTCAGCAGTAGGAGCCACTCCAGGAATCCCTTTCACAGTCTTTTCTTCATTCCTTCAACCATCTGCAGGGTGTGGCTGTTCTGTTTTACTGTGGACAATGGCAATAAGAATGGCTGCAATGGTCTGGAAGACGACCACTCCACTTGCTGGATATGGAGAACTGGGTGCTTTCCAAATTGCTAGAAGTATTGAAGACGCCCTCATGGAGCAACCAGGGACTACATGAGAGAACTCCAAGTATATATATATATTTTTTTTCTAGAGTACTTTGATTAACCAATCTGAGCAGCTATTTATATTGCTGCTAGCCTGGTCATCCTGCCATAAAAATCTACCACGTATCCAGATCTCCTGTGGATCTCAAATGCCTGGAAATTGGAACCTTTAAGGGTTCCAGCGGCCATGGAAAATTTCTCTCAATAAAACAGGTAAGAATTGTGACCCTGGGTCTTAGAAGTAAGAAAATGAGTTGCTGGTGGCCACTGTTTTGTTTATGGAGTGGATGATAGCTGGTTATCATCAGAAGGCAAAAGCATCTGACTGCTGATGCTGAGGACACTGA